TGGGGGTTTTTTTTTTTTTTTTTTTTTTTGAGACAAGGTATCACTATTTAGTTCAGGCTGGCCTTGAATTCACTCAGTCCTCCTGCCTCACTCAGCCTCCTGAATACTGTGCCCCACCATGCCAGACTTTGTAATCTTAGAAGAAGAGAAGGCCTTTGTATTTATGCCTCACAATCTAGAAATCAACAACCAAAATTCAGCAGCTCAGTAGAAATATAGAGGACATATGCAGTTCACAAGAAAAGAAACATGAATGACCCCACAAGTGTATGAAAGATGCTCTCAGCCTGACTCAAGTAAGAGAAGTGCAAATTAAAACTATACCAAAATGCCATTTTCCATCAATTTGACAAAATTGACATAAATCTAAGAGTTTAAATTCTCTTGGTGAGAGTTTGAGGAAACAGACCCTGCCATGCATTGCTTGTGGAAGATAACATTTGGCACTATCTGGCAGCAACTCCACTTCTGGGAATTTATCCTGCCTCATACAGGAGAAATGGCCTAAGCACAAGGTCATTCGTGGCAGTGCCTTTTGAAATAGCAAAGAACTGTAGGGGAGCATTACTGTCTCTGTGTTTAGCAGGAGTGTCCAACTGCTGCCTGTGGATTGCACACCCCTGTGTTAGAATCAAAGTATCTTTAAAAGGAAGTTTTGTTACTTGTATACATTAACTCTATTATATATTTAATACACAGCCCAAGACAGTTCTTTGCTCGTGCAGCCCAAGCAAGCCAGGTGTGTCCAGTGTAAAGTTTGGTCAGGCCTATGCAAGTGGAATACCATGCAGTGTAAGAAGTGAGCACTCCTCCCTGTATCTTTACTATTGCTAGTAAAGATAGCAAGAACACATTAGGAACCATGTTTTGGATAAAAAGGCAGAAATGCAAGTAGGTATTCCTACTACCATATTTGCAGGAAGACTCTGGAAGAACAGATGTTATTTTGAAGTCTTGAATGAAGAGCGAAGGGACAAGCCCCCCTCCTGCCTTCCTCAGCACTGGGATTGCAATTGTGCACTGCCATGCCTACCTAAAAATGACTTTTTATTGTTGTGAGTTATACATATAAAAAGTGCTCATATTGTGGTATAACTGTCAATGAATTTTCACCAGCTGGTGTCCCTTGTGTAGCTCACACTTGGCAAGCCTCCCTTCCCCAGAGTGACTCTTATCCTGACTTCTAGTACTATAGATTAGTTTTTGCTTGTTATTGACTGTATGTAATTGAAATCATATGTTATGTTCCCTTTTGTGTTTTGCTTCTTTTACTCCACATTATGTCAGAGATTTGCTTATGTTTGTGGCATGTGGTTGTAGATTTATAATCATTCTTGTGTAGCATTCCATTGAGTAATAACCACCACAGTTTATTCACTGTCCTGTTGATGGAGTGTATTTTCTAGTTTGGGTTATTATGAGCAGTGCTGCCATGAACATTATAGAGCACATCCTTTGGTGAGTGTATGGATGCATTCCCGGAGGGTATGCCTCCTTGGAGCATGCTGACCTGTGAGGAGACATCCGGGTCATAAGTGAGGCATGTGTTCAGCTCTAATAGTTGCTCTTCTTCATCCCCCAAAGTGGAGCCAGTTCTCGTTTCAAGCTGGTAATAAACCAGTTTTTCATGGTTTAGCAGTCATTTTCATTCTAACAGGGTCCTTTTACCTCTTAAAACCCTGAAGCAACTCAAGAGTCTGAGGCAGGAAGACCACAAGTTTTGAGGCAAGCCTGGGCAACTTAGTGAGATGCTGTCTCAGAATTGAAAATGGATGGGGATGTAGCTCCATGGTAGAGAACTTCCCTAGTGCACCAAAGGCCCTAGGTTCAACCCCCAGTACCACAAAACAGAATAAACAACCTTGAAAAGTAAAGTCAGGTCCAGGTACAGCCAGTGCCTCAGTCCCTTCCTCTCTGCCCAGGAGCATAGAAGGTTTCAGTGAGGGCCTTGGAGAAGGAGGTGCCACCTGTGAGCCTTTGCTTTCCAGACAGTAATGTGGGTCTAGGGAACATGTGTCCCAAGCAGGTGAAGGCTCCTGGTTTCTCCCAGCAGCAGCATGGTGGCCATGCTCAGAGAACACTTACTCTCTATGGATTGTTAGTGTTTTGCTACTCTTGTCTTGCAATAGTTCTGCAAACAAGAAGAGGTGCTGTTATCCCTCTTTACCACCAGGAAGACCCCGGGGTGATAAGGGACCCTTTGAACCCCATTGTACCTGAGGGTAGAGAAGGGGCATTTAAGCAGGGCCAGGGCTTCTCTTACAGTTTCCTCTGAGTAGATGCTTCCAGTTTGGTGCAGGACTGTCCAGCAAAGACCTGTGTAGACTGGATGTGCCCCTGGCTGTGGCACTGAAAGGGTTGTTCTGTTAACCTCTGTGGACTCTGCACCATTTTATTTACACTTGCTTCAACTCCTGCAGACTTATCTAGCCAGGGTGTCTCATAACTGCTACACTATATAAATCACACAGCTGCAAAATAACAGTTCGAAAGTACACCAAAGCCAGTTATGTTGTTGGGGAAGAAATTGGCAATTGACACACACATAGAGATGAGCTGAATGGAAGTAAAATAAAAAGTTTATTTTATCAGAAAAGGGTCGATCACATTCAAAAAGGCAGTGCCAGTGATCGACCTCCTGTTGGTTTGCAGCTTCCTCTTTTATAGGTTTTACAGCTATGATCTCATTTAGGTAGTTACATTTCATTTCCTCAGTTCACATTTCCCATGTACAAATTACAGTAACAAGACAGTTCACTTTAATGCAGACATAACAGTTCCTTGTAGTTAGGGAGTGTACCTTAAGATTCCACTAGCTATGGATGTCCACTTCATGGTCAGTGCCTCCAGTGTCTGTTAATTTTGAACTAAATAAAGCAGATTGCTATTAAGAGACAGAAGAAGCCATTTTACATTTTCCTAATATTTTGTAGGTTTTTAGATTATTTACAAAAGTTTTCTGTATCAGTGTAGCTGACAGAGATGAAAAGTTCCCTTCCTAAAAATCCTAAGAAATTATTTCTGGCCAAGGGGACATTGTACTGGTCACTCTGGGAAGTTTTATCATAATACTGTCAGGGAGGCTCAGAGAACCAAATCCCTAAACTAAATGTGCTCCACCTGGGCCTTTCCAGGTG